GGGGGGCATGATAAGCACACCCGCTCAACTGCTGCAGATGCGTCTTTCACCTCTGAGGCATTCACTGGCCCAACCTTTGGCTCCAGGACCATGGGTCATCATTTTGTTCTCGCTCTTTGTGTTGCGTACGTTCTGCTGCTGCGTGTCGCGTGCGCACCCTGCCCCATTGCTGACTCGTGGTTCCAGGCATTTTGGACGTGTGATCCGTTCTTGTTGGACGCTCACTTTGAAGTTTTCGCTGGTAGTTCGTCTGATCCTTTCGCGCATTTTGCGGCATCTGTTGGTGCGATATCTGCTCGAAGCCCTTTGTCCTGGTGTCGGTTACCTGCTGCACTGCCGCGTCTTCGCGCTGCCTGGCTGACGCTCTCGCGCGCCCGCTCCCCGCTTACCCCGTCTTTGCGTGCTGCCTGTTTTGTTTTATCCCGACGTTTGTTGGTCATCAACTTCACTTCTGCACCATGTACGCATGAGCTGAGCTGGGCCGTGTTGAAAAAGCACGTGCCCAAAACAGTGGCCACTCGTGGTGCGTCTGACAGACGCGCAAACCCACGCCTGGACCAGTACATGTACTCATTTCAGTTTCGCAAAAACTGTAGCAAGCCATTGTGGGATGCTCTGGGAGACCTGTGCAAGAACTTGCCTTGAAACAAAAGGAGGCCGGCTGCCTCAAGAAACGCACGTGTGTTGGCCAGCGGCACGAAGTGCTGCTATTTTTGAGCGAGGCCACAATGTCCGGCCATGTATGACTTGGAAGCAGATGAAGGCGGCTTGCTCGCGAGCTTTGAGAAGTTGCCTTGAAAAAAAAGAGGCCGGCAGCCTCAAGAAACGCGCGTGTGTTGGCCAGCAGCGCGAAGTGCTGCTATTCTCAGGCGATTTGGCCCTTTCTTGTCAAAGCCATGGTAAAAATGGAACAAAATAAACATGGTGCGTGTCAACGATGCAACGAAATATTCCTAAAACGCAGGAATTTTGGTAATCGTGCTTGGTCGCCCTGGTCAACGCCGTGACCTTGTTTAAGGCATTGGGTTTTGGTTGGAAAATGGGAATTGGGGTGTTGGTTTTGGACAACGTGACTCCAAACAACCAGCCCTGGTTGATTAAACAATGGTGGCTCAAGGCTCGCACCTCCAACTAGGGGCATGCTAAAGTGCGAGAAGTGTCAGTGTGATGACAGTATTGATACTGTATACTAAATGAACATGTCTCCAACAGCAACACTGTAAGTGTCTCTAAAAATGTGGTTGTCCATTTTGGGCTTCCCTTTGAAACCACCCCAAAACAAGTGCACAAATCCGAGCCGGGCGCAACGGTTGCACGCTTCATGTAGGGGTAGGTGCCGACTGGCATATCGCATATCCGCCGACATTGTTCAGAGTGTCAGACACCTAAGAGAAGATAGAGCTCAACCCCCCCCCCCAACCCCCCCCCCCATTTGCCGCGCGACAATCTGATGATGTTCCTCTAAAAATAGTCTTGCGGCGGGAGGTGATGTGAAACAGGAGTCTCAGGCTACAATCCCCCTGCCACCTGTCTGCCGGCTTCCGCCTCCGCTTGCCGAAAACATGGAAAAAACACAGTGTTTTTTCTGCGAGCGCCTGCTAGGAAATGAAGGGTGAATGCAGGGGACATGTGCGGAAATGCAGAACAGTGCAAGGAAGTACTGACAGGAAAAATAAAGGGGGCATGAAGGGCCGGGAAACGCAAGGGCATGCAGCGGACAGGAAGCGGACATGACAGGAAATCAAGGGGACACGCAAGGGAAATGAAGGGGAACTGAAAGTGAAAGGAACAAGAAATGAAGGGGGAATGAGGGGCAAACGACGGGAAATGAAGAGGAAATGGAGGGGAAATCAGGGGATTTGAAACGCGCGGGACATGAGGGGAAGTGCGCGGAAACAAAAGGCCACTCGAAAAAAAAATGGCGCGACGCAGGGGAGCTCAGGGATGCAGTGTCGGACTGAGCCGGAGGCTCTAAAGTTTTGCACCTTCCGACCTTCCTAAAAAAAGGGTTTGGTATGTTCATATCTTCATGGTGTATCTACCCATAAAGGACGTGGTTGAGATTCTTTTTTGGGAGGGATGCAAAAGCGAGAGCCCGGCCTCATGGAGGAGCCATGTGGCCGGGCAAAGGAAACATATCCAGGTGACTGCCACCCCCAGCGTCCAGACGTAGCTTTGGGGCGGCGTCTCAGTGGTGAGGCTGATCTCCGTCACATAGGCAGTCTCAACGTGGCCTCCTTGCTCGCGATCACATTTGCCTCCTGGCTGTGGGTCAAAATCCAGGAAACCTCTGGTGAACAGATCAAAATAGGTGGCAAATGGCTGTGGCTCAAAAACCCGTACCAAAATGGGTTGCCCTGGTAAGTGGAAACATGGACCAAAACCTGCGTTACCCTAGCTCTTTAATTTTGAGCCACACCCAAATGGATGTTCATCCACCCCAGAATGGAGCCATAGGTTATGCCCCATAGCCCTGTCCTTTAAAGCCAAGCAAAAAGGGGTACCCTCAAGAAGAAAGACTCGCCCATTTCATGAAAGAGCTCGTTGAGTAATAACAAACACCCCACTGCACAAAGCAAGATAGTAGACAAAGTGCGGTCGAAGCGACAAACTCCGAAGGCAACATCCGCAGGCCGTGGGTGATAGCTATGCGACTTCTCGGAAATTCGAGTCCCTGGCTTTTTTGTGGGAAACTTAGAGTCCCCCTGTGTCCACAGACCACTGGAGATTTTGACCAAGCCTGATGTCAATCAAAAATATCTGAAGCAACGCTGCACCATGGCATGTTTCTTCCGGCTTGGGAGGGAATCAGGTTTAATCATTAAAATCTAGGTATTGGTTCTCCATTCTTTTCAGGATTCTTCTCCAGAAAACCATCCCAAAATGCTACAACGCTATGAAATCACGTTGTGCTCAACAAGAACGATGGTTAAAATGAGGAGCCAACCCCTATCGCAACTCGCATCCGCCTGCCACGGCCGTGATCCAGCACAGCAGGATCAGAGCCGCGAGTACCTTGGCCCAAAGAAATCCGGGCAAGGGAAAATGAGTCACAATCAAAACCTGGTATTAAAACGGTCGACCCAGAACCATGTAAAGAATTAAGGCGGCCGCAACTATGTAGGGACTGTTCCTTAACCTTCATCTACCAAATGGTTTTGATTGTGACTCAAATGAAGGACACCCAAAGGGAAAAACGCGTTGCACCGGGATATATGATGTTGATGGCACAATTCCCTGCGCTGTTCAAAATGGAGGGTTGGCCAATCCTAAGCCTTAATTACTCCCTACAGAGAAGCAACGCCAAAGGGGATCCCTGTAACCCAAGCTAAGAATTAATGATTACCTTTGAACAGCCCAGTTCCCTTGTGGTTCAGATAGCTAAACCACAATGAGTTGGAAATCTGCCATCAACTTTCACCCAACGACAAATGTCTGTGGCTCAAAAACATGGCACCCAAAGTGGCAGTGGTAAATGAAACCAAACACTAAAACCTGCGTAGCCCTGGCTCCTTAATTTTGAGCCACGCCCAAATGCTGGCGCTATTCTTGCGTAACCCAAGCTAATAATTAATGATTACCTTTGAACAGCCCAGTTCCCTTGTGGGTGGAGTTCTGCCATCGACTTTAACCCAACGGCAAATGCTGGCAATGGTACCAGCACGGAGAACAGCGGCCACAGCACCGCCAGCGCAGCGTACCGTGATGCCAACACTCGCCGCCGGCCCGCGGAACCCACCCGCGCCAGCATGCAGAAGCGATGGGCCGAGTGGAGCGCCAGCTGAGCGGCTGTCTTTTTGAGAGCTTTGCTGCAATGTAGACGAAAATTATGCGGGGAAAATGTGGTGGGGGGGGCAAAGACGAAAAGCCTGCTTGGCAAAGGTGGCGCTTTTCTCTTGGAGAACACCATGTAAAAAGACCAAAGGAGCGGCTATTTATCTGCCAACACCCCCCTGCGCACCTTCTGCCCGAATCGGTGTTGGTCATGGCTCAGGACTGCTGGATGAGGCGATCCAGTGGTTGAACATGTTGGCCCAAGTCTTGGTCCACGGCATGTCATGCTGTGGCATAGCCTTCCAATGGCTGCGGGAACTATGCCATCAGCAATTTCCTGCCGACCGGCCGAAGTACGCCAAGGACTTCTCCACGGCAGATAGGCTTGGAAACCACTCAAGCAAGGCAAATTCACACAAAACTCGCAGAAGCACCTGGCGCACTGCTTTTGCACACAAGCTTTCAGTGCACACAAGCTTTTCAGGTGGCATTTGGCTATTGTACGCCCCGAGGTCACACCCCTTTGTGTTTCGCAATGTTTTTTATCGTGGCTTGCGCTTCGAAAGTCAATAGCGCTCCCCATCCGGGTGGTTTCTCGTCTTTACTTTTGGGCAGGGGAATAATTCCTTGCCGGACTCCAAGACATTGGTGACCGCGACGGACCCGACGCAGCGGACGCATCGGCGGCTTGAACATCTCTTCGGAGTTCGAAGATTGGGGTCTCAAGGTGCGACCTTGGCTCTCAGCAGATTTTCCTGGTGGGAATGCACCCGGAAAAATCTCCCCACAAAAGACAACTACTTGGATGCTTAGGGGTCATTCCGGGACCCTGCTGAGAGCCAGGGGGAGCCAGGGTTGGGCGCAAGATTTCTGTAAGAACCAGATTGCTATCTTTACTGGGGGCCCAAAAGGAGTTGTTCTTTGAGCCTTAGGTGCTTAAACCGTGGTTTTTTGATTCAAGACTCGCCCAACCCTGGTTAGAGCATTGGCAAGCCCACGGTCTTTGCACATGGGCTGCGGGAGTGTGCGCATAACTAGGCACGGTGCACATTGCTACGGTTTACATGGGGATCTACGTCCTCTCATTTGTGAGCTGCCTCCAATTGTTAAAACAACATTAGCCCGACGTACTCTATGTATGAGAGAGAGAGAGAGACATGTATACATAAACATATGTATATATGTATGTCATACGTACATACATATGTGTGTGTGTGTGTGTGCATGTGTATTTGTGTGGGACCCATTTTCCTGGAAAGAGTCGTCAAAGACTCAGAACGGCGGCACCGGCCATCTGCCGAGGTACGCCTAAGGCGAGAAGCTCGTGCGGTGGGTGGGGAGTCGAAGCAGAGGGGTGTCGTGGTTCGGGAAGCAGCCAAGACGGGTGTGGGGTGTGCGGGGTGTTGGGGGGGGGGGGTGCGTGGGGGTGCGTGGGGGTGTGGGGGGCGTGGGGGGTGTGGGGGGCGTGGGGAGCGTGGGGGGTGTGGGGGGGGGCAATGGGGAAGATAGCCGATGCATTTTGAGACCTCAAACCCGAAATGGGGGTGGTTGTCAAAAAGATGGCCGGCTCATTTGTTGGCCGCTGCAGGAGCCGCCCCTTGGACATGCATGGCCATCAGACTATGCACAGAGACTTCCCCCCAAGTTGATCCAGGAACTGGCGGGTTCCCATCTGCTACTTTGCGGGAGGTTCATGGAGGTCCAAGCAGAGCTTGAGGGACCCCTGTTCAACTCCGCTTTCGGAGCCCCTCTTGACGCATGCACGTGACTCTGGTGAAAGGTGAGCATCAAACTACGATCATTCTTCAGCTGGGCACACACCAAGACAGGGGAACTCCCAAGCCTTGCGATTTGTGATGTTTCTGTTCAATCTCCCGAAACAAAGTCAAAAGGGTAATTACCCTCAAAAAGAAACTGCCGGAATTAACCGAACCCCCCCCCCCCAGCAAAATGGCCACCACGGCTGAGCTCCGTTTTAGCACTACACGAGCTCATTTTGCCACTTGAGCGTGTGCGCCAAAGTCTTGCCGACTGACATGGGAATTCGAGAGCCCAACAGGCATGCGGGGTCTGTCTCAGAATAACACCTGCACCAGATAGGAAGGATGCAGCCCTAAACCACCAATGCTGCCTGGATTTGGTCCATCCACAGATATCCATCCGAAACAGCCCAACTCAACTTGAGACCAAGAATTTGGCGCAGAAAGTGGCATCAATCTTCCGTGACAGGTTACTAGAACTCCTGGAAACAAGGAAAATAAGCAAACCAGCCAGTAAAGGACAGTCATGGAGGAGCTTGATAGAACTGGCCATTGTCCATGGGAAACCTCCCCCCATGTGCAAGTCTTTGCTCAAAGAATTGCGTGCCGGTCGCCTCATCCAGGGCTCCCTATATGTTCCCGCAAACACATCACCCAGAAAACGCGCGTGGTGATGTGACCACAAGCAACACAGAGGGAACTCTGAATCACTCCCCACGACTTGACAGCTTCCCCCCCCTTTTGCTCATTTGATAGAGACGTGCGGCTTTAAACAAAAAAAAAGATCCCTCATTGTCTCCCACCAGCTACAAACCCCACGGCCCATCCCCTCCCATTTTGAAGCTCTTCAGCTGATGGCCTGAGGTCCGCCGGGGAGGCGGTGGATGACAGCCTCAGCTTCTTCGAACGCCGAAAAAACCGTCGCCTCCGGGTCTGGATGAACATTTTCCTGCTGGTTCGATAGGCAGGAGATGCCTAGGTCCTCCAGTAGAGAGGTTAGCATAAGTTAGTACCCGAGTTTTAATAAGGGTACCCGTTTTTTTTTTTGGTATGTAGTCTGTTTTAGTAGGGGAACCCTCCCCAAAAAAGGAAGAGAAGGGCACTACTGAGTACTGCGCGACTTAGTGGCTGGTTCGCCCCCTTTTTCACCGTCCTTATGGTTTCCCTTAAGTGAATCCCCTTCCGATTCATTCACAAACCCCGGGTCATTCCCTACTGAGCACCAGCAAGTTACTCAAGCAGCGAATCACAAACTAGTCATCTGCGGGAATCTGATCAAAGGGCCCTTTTTTTTGCTGCTCCCCATCCAAGCCACAAACGTAAAGCTGATCATTTGTCCTGTTTGGGTTCCTTTGGGCTTCCATTTGCGCTTTTTTTTCCAAATCCAAGAATTCAAACCAATATCCCGTCCAAAAGCGGGGAGGTTGGGTCCCAATGTGCCTCTCCCACTTGGCCGCTGGCGGGCGAAGCGCTCACCGGCGTCTGCCTGGCGCGGCAGGGGGCAGGCTCTTCGGTCAATACTCGGTGGGGATAAAAGCGTCCAACCACTTCTTCGGTGGTTCCTTGTCAAGGGTCATAGCCATTTAAGAACGCCTACAAGGGAACCGGTTTTGCTTTGGCGGCTTTCCAGTGTCGTGGGCAATGCCCACGAAAGGGTTCAAACTCTCGGTCGCGAGTGGCAATTGCCAAAGAAGGATCTGAAGCATCAAAGCGGTCAAAGCAGTCAGCCAAAGTTGTTGGCCAAAAGCGTGATGGCTTGTTGTCCACAAGCAAAGAGTTGGCAAAAGCCCCCCCCAGCTGTGAGAGCTGCTCTGCGGCTGTTTCTATCAGCCAGCGAAGGTGCTGTGCCAGGAGTGCGCAGATGGCACGCGAGATTTTAGTGGCATTCAATTCCGAGCCCCGCAATGTGCGGGGACTCGCACAATTTTGGAACCACAAATCCCAAAAGGACAAGCAGTGGTTCCCCGCAAAGAGGAGGCCAACTTGTGCCAGCGCCACATCAAAGTCTGGCCCATGCTGTGGCGGGTGAGGGATGACGCCTCAGCACGAGGGTGGGCCACCTGACAGCCTCCCTTGGAAAGAGCAATTTGAGTGTATCTTTTTGGATGGTACCGTTCTTGGGGTGGGCTAAAAAGGGAAACCAGAAGGAAGCCAAGGTCCCCTTTTTCTACAGGCAACCCCGCGCCGCGAAATTCAGCTCGGTTGGGTCTGGGGTGGGTTTTGCGCAGGTTCAGGGTCGGTGTGTGGTTGAGGCTGGTTTGCGGTTGGTTTAGGTGTTAAGGTTGGCGTTGGGTTTTCAGGTGTAGGGTTGGCTCGAATGACAAGCGGACCAACTGGCAGACTCACCGACCGACGGCCCGCCGACCCACCGACCAAGTGACCGATTGGACACCCCACAACCGGGCAGACAAACGTTTCGCCAAACCTACGGAAAAATCACCCGGGGCCCTGACAACGGCGACCCTCAACAAAGGGCTGGTGTGACCCATTCTTCCTTCGGGGCCTTTAGTGGCGGGGGCCTCCCCGTCCCTTTTTTTCCGGGCCCAAATCCTACCTTAAGACATTCCCATGTGGGTATGAATTTTGATAAGGGACCCTTTGGTGGACATCATTTAGGTGGGGATTTATGTCCACCAATCACTTTTGAGGTGGTTCCCTATTAAAATTCATTCCCAGTTGTATGCAGGTCCACCGTGCTTGGCGCTACGAGTTCTCATTTGTCAAACGCAGAGCATCAGAAGGGCTTCTCGGAGGGGAAGAGATCATCTTTCAGGGCCGCATGTTCTTTTTAGAGAGCTTCCCCTCATTTTATGGCCGGGTTTTTGAAACCCATAAAATGCACCAATTTCAACCCGAGTGAGAATTACGCACCCACGAGGGGGCCTTCTGTCTTTGTTTTGGGGGTTGTGAGGGGTACTTTACGAACCAAGGTCGGCCCACTAAAAAGTGTCATAAACTATTAGAGTCTTCTCGTGCCTGGCAGCGGTCGGAACCCTCTCGGAGCTGAAGTCGGTATGCAGAAACCCTTCGGTAACCGAAATACTCCCGAAGCGAAGAGCACTGGCGTCTTACCAGCTTGACGTTCAACTCCTTACGAGTCGATGTCTTCACCAATCATGAGCAGTTCCCCTTTAAAACAGGCAGAAACCAAAAACAACGCCGAAAAAAGACATGCAAAATGGCCACCCCTGTTTCATGGCTATGTAAAATGGCCCGAACTGTGCGACGCCAAAAACGGAACAGCCCCGTGGCCAAGCTACACACTTCAAATCAGGTTTTGAACTGGTCATGGAGCCCCCCATGTCGGCCGTGAAGTCTAGGGCCCTTTGGTGGACATCAGGGCTCGGTCAAAATTCATGTCCGCTGCTCTGAAAAAAAAAAAAGCCCCTCGGTTGCCCCAGGGACCCGGAAGCCAAAGCTTTCTCGGGGCCGTGACTCAGCATTCGTCAAACACGGAAAACCGACAGGTCAAAAGGTCGGCGCTGGGCAAGCGCCGAAGAGCCACCGCCTGTTTTTTTTTGTTTTTCCTTTTTTTTTATCTGGGTTCCAAATCCCGCTTTTTCGAGGCCAAAACCCGCCGTTGTCCAGAGCCATGAGGATAGACCTAACCCACTTCTTCATATCACAAGAGCCTCCCATTCATCAAACAAAAATACACACGAGATTTCTTTGGTCATAGCTTTTGGTCGATGATAAATCTACCACCTACGATCACATCAACTTCACGTGCATCAAACCAACCAAAACCACCCCCCCGCATCTCTTTTTGGCGCCCGAGTAAGGCTGAGGGCTGTGACCGGCACGGCTTGGGGGATCCACACCGTGGGCCAGGAAGAGAGACCTGGCGCGACCACCCACCAGCTGCCACCTGCCTTCAAAGCCACCCCCGGAAAATGCGGAAAATTGGCCCCCAGCCGGACCCTCGTTTTGGCGCAAAAAACATGAGAACAACCGCACATTCCGAATGATGTTGGGGGCACTTGGGCCCCTTTTGCTCCCGGGCTTGTCCTTCCCCACCCCAATGTCCATGACTAGCAACTGCCACCCTCAAACCACCCCAAACAAAGTGAAGATGTTGCAACCCAACATGATGGTGTAATTTCGACCGCGTGTGAGGTTGATTTTTAGAGTGAGACTCCAATTCAAGCCAACTGGGTGTTTCCAACAATGGACCATGACAATAGGTGGTTTGCTTTGGGTTCTTTTTCAATGCCGAAATCGTTTTTGGACCCAACTGATCCACAATCCAAAGAGGGGTCTGCCCAAACCATGGGGAGGCGGCCCAAGTCCGGTCTGGTTGGTTGATTTTGACTACATTCTCGCTGCAACCTAACCCCCCCCCTGTCCGTGGTCTGCTCCCCCTGCCAACTCCAACCATTATCCACAACGTCAAAAGAAACCGCAAGGGCAGAAATTGCGGCCCTTGTCTCAGCTCTAACTTCCCGCTTTCCCAAAAGCTGGGTCCAAACATGTCCCAAACGAGGTGGGTTCAAAAGGAGACTCCAAAAAGCTGCGATGGGTTTTGTGGGGCGATGTGCTGATTTTGCTGGGTCTGATGCCCAGAGAAGATTCGGCTCAAGACACCCCATATGCCGCACCCTCTCAGCTTCGTTTTTCACCCGCGACATGCATACGGTCGAAACTCCGTGTGGGCTGGAGCCGCTATTGTCTTAAACTCCAAAGTTGATGACCATCCTAGCCTTTTTCCGACAGTTCTCCACTTCCCATGATTGGAAAAGAGGTGGTAACCCCCAAGTGGCAAACACAGCCTCCCCGCCTTGAATGGCAGACTGGGACTGCGAGATCTGTCCTGCAACAATGCCACAGGTGTCGCTTGTTCTTTTCCGGCCGCTTCGGCCCGTCCCAGCCAGTAATTCGACATGTCAGTGGTCAAAATGATCTGGGTCAGGGATGCGGGAAGGGGTTGGCTCACGAAGGGCCCAGTTCACCCCTCTCTGATACCAACCTACCCTTTCGGAGAATTGGTTTGGTCAGACTTCAATTGGTATCACTGCAAAAAATCCCCTTCCCCGCAGCGACTCGGGCGCATGGCGCCCGGGTCCCCGGTGGGGGCATTTTCCCGTGTGCGTGCGTTTTTCTTGGTAGCTCCTTTCCAAAGACAGAACGCAAGAGACCCTGCCCGGCGAGGTCAAAGATCAAAGACTATGAGACATTACATCTTCGACCTTGCTTTTCCATGGCAAAGTGGGTGTCTCTCTGCATTTATGCATCGAAGCTAGGCAAGCTGCCAAACTTGAAAGGCTGAAGGCATGTCCTTCACAAGCTCTGACTTCAACGCTCCTGTTGGCAACACGAAAAGTAGAAAAAACGGGCTCCGTTGATCCATGAACGACCAACCGAGAAAGTCCTGCTAGAACCCACAACCTGGAAATTTGCAGTTTCTTCAGTTGGCAACCCTGCGTGTTGGAAATCCCATATTCCCAAGAGAGACTCTACATGGAACCTCCAAAAATAAAGGGGAAGCAAGGGCAGCCTTTCCAGCTTTCTAGTGACTCATGGTGACTACTAGGGGCCGCACGCTTCCTGTGGCCTCCCCTTGCTATTGGCTCTGAGCCCAAAAACAAATCGTCCATCCCAAAAAAACGCAAACTAATCCAACTGAAGAACCTACAGAACGAGGGCAGGTGAGTTCCCCCTTCTGGTGTGTCCTCCCCCCCCCCCTTCCCCAGCCTTGCGGGCTTGGTGCATGCGGCATGGGGCGGGGCCTGGCTTGCGGTAGGACGCACCACCCTCGCAGCCTCAAAAAAACCTTGGCGAACTTTCGGCGGATGTCGCGCAAATAGAGCCGTCTTTGAGGGGAGCCCCAAAATATGGCTTCGGCCTTCCTTTGGGATTATGTTTGAGCCAAATCAAAAGGGGGTACCCTCCGAAAAAGACAGGGATTATGCATAATAAGGAAAAACACACAAAAAAAAAAAAACACCTCCAGTGGTTTCGCTTTGAAGAAACCCAAGGGCGGGGTTGGTTACAAATTTCATGGAATCCGAACGCTGGACACAAATCCCCCAAAGAATGACCCTTTGACTTTTCACCTGATGAAATGTCATATCCATATGAGTGCTTCGCAAGATAGAGTACACGAAACTGGTGGGTCTCCTTTTAGTTTCCCTGTTTGTTAGGAACATCACAGGTACCACTCAAAACACCCAGAAACAAAGAACCTCGCCGCCCAAAGGGGGTCCGCCAACTAAAAGAAGAAACACCTAGACATATTACCAACATTATTGTTAAACAAACAACCCTTCGAACATATGAGATGGCCGATCTCCTACCTGAAAGCTGGGGCTGAAAGCTCCCTCACCCTGCCGCTCCGCTTTTCAACATGTCACGCCAAACGCGGCGAGGCCACCCTCGCGACGCCGTAGCCCCAATGCCTCGGCATCCAGTCGGCATCTTCCGACGTGGAAGTGGACGTTCTTGGGGAGACCCTTGGACCCCTCCTTCCAATCATGGAAGTGCTTCTGTTTCCTTCCAAAATCATGGAAGTGGGTATAATTTTTGTTTTAACCAAAAGTGGTCTTGGCAAAGATGGATGTTGGCCCCAATGCCAACCATTCTTTTTGGGATGGTTCTCCCGGTTTAACCTAAAAACAGCCAGTGGGTTCTGGGGGAGGAAGGGTCCAAAGGGTCCACCCTGCTTCCAAGAATCATAGAAGTGGGTGTTTTGTTTGTTCCCCCAAAAGGCAAAATGTCTTGCAAAACCAGCGGACGTCTTTTTTGGGACGTGTTGCCCAAAAGGCAGGCTATGTCCTGTTCCCAAAATCGGGAGAGTGAAGATTCCGTTGGACTTCTTAGCGCAGAAGCTTGGGCCGGAGAGAAACTCTCCACAAGTATTCCAGTAGGTCCTCCAGTAGAGAGGTTAGAATAAGGGTACCGTTTCTTTTTTCTGTAGTCTATTTTAGTAGGGGAACCTTAGAGAAGGGCACTACTGGGGGACCTAGTCCAGTAGAGTTGTTTACATAGCCAAGGCCACATCAAGTGGGGACAAGCTCGCGGTGCCACTCACTTCGCCTAGCTGCCAGCTGAAAGACATCAGAAATCCCACCTTTCGAGCGACAGTTCGGGGCAGTTCAGAGGTGGCATCGTCTCTCCCCTTTGAATGTCGCCACAACAAAAGCTCACTTTCAATTGGCACCGAAAGGTTTAAAACCACCAAAGTGCGGGAATATGAGTTTCTCAACATGGCGGAAAAGCCATCCTTTTGCTTGGCCTTTAAGGGACAAACAAAGGAAGCCGTTGCCATTTTTAGGGGACCGATTCCTTTAAGAATCGCCACCCCACGATGTAGGGGCCCAAGAAATCGCATCTAAAGCAACCTCAAAAAGGGAAACCAAGACACAACCATCCAAGCCCCCAGGAAAAAAGTCACCCCCTTGAACATCATAGGAAACCATTTCGGGAATTCGTTGTTGGAAGCTGCAACTGCTGTGTGTGTGTGTGTGTTTCTTTGAGGCTTGGTACTGTTCACCTTGGTTTAAAGTGCTCTGTGCTTTTTTGAGGGTACCCCCTTTGTGGTTTCAGAGGGCACAGAGCAGACCCAGTGTGCCATTTTTGGGGGCTCCCTGAAAACGACGCACCCAGATGTTGCCATACTTTTGGCTCTCCCGGTGTTATAGAACACCCAAGAGGGAAACCCAGAGGAAAACCGCCACTATGGTGGGGGGCCAACCTGAAAAACGACACCCCAAAAAAAACAGAGGCTCCGAGGCTCCCCGCGCCACATCTGCGGGGTGCTGGCGCCGGTTCCACCAGGCGCCCAGGTCTGGCCATTGGGCGGGGGGGGGGGGGGCGGTTGGGGGAGGGGGGTGGAACATTTTGGGGTCTTGATTTCCCATTCACCCACCCAAAGAGCCCTCAGTCGATCTCCCTTCAAGCCCGGAAAAAATGGTAGCCTCAAACAAAATGACACCCCCAAATGGCTACCAGCAAAACTTGGGCCCGCAAGAGTCAGCCGTTTTTCGAGGGTCCACCTTTTCCGGGAGCCCCCGTATTTTAAGGTACCCTTTTCGAATGGTTCTACGAAACTAAGCAGAGGCAAACCAGCAAAGCCGCGAGGGTCCGACAAAAGAAACTTTGGGAGCCATTTGACCTTGTTCACCTCGATGGGACCTGGCCTGCTGCGGCTGAATGGCTACCTGAGCACAGCGCGGCCGTGCCGGATTGCTTCACTTTGCAAGGACATATGGGTGAACCCTCCGTTGTGGGTGACAATACCGAGAGATCGCCATGCCTGAAAATGGTGGAGGTACCAAGAGTTTTAGGGTCAGCCGACAGGAGAAGGGCTAGATGAAAATGCCCAATGAAGCGAAGGCCAGCAAATGGGTGTCTCTTTCTTCAGGGGGATCAAACATGCTAGTTGTCCTCGAAAAACACCTAACAAGGGTACCCTCAAAAAACACACACACACACACACAAGTCTGAAAACCCACACCCTTTGCACTCTGAACATGCCACCATGCGCGACACCAAAAAGGTACGGTCAAAAGAAGACACACCCGAATGGAAGTTTCTCAGAAGGGGTTTTGTCTAACAATTTGGATGGTGTTCCGCAATACAATTCCCAGCCATCCGTGTCTCTTTGGTGCTTTGACAAAGCGAAACCGACTCCAAAACACTGGAATCCTTACAGGACACATCCAAAAACCATGCGATTAACAGGGATTGGGATTGTTCCAAAGCAGCCAGTAAAGGCCGAGTTTTTGACAGGCCCTGGATATCTTTGAACGGACCCTGCACCACCGGAGGTCTGGGCACCATCCATCCCAAGCAAACGGCTGCTTTTTGACTGAACCTGGTCTGTCAAATAGGGGTACCCCAAGAAAGTGTGCCTTTTCATTTACTTCTCTTTAAACCAACCTGTTAAAGAAAACCCAAGAAGCACACAATCCCGTATGTGGGTTTCTCAAAATGGGTCCCACAGCATGGGTGTGTGTTCAAGTACGACGTTTCCAATAAGTTCCCTCTAAACCAACAAGGGTGCCCAAGCGGGTTCCGGTTTTTCCAAATCGTCCTGTAAAATGGAGGCGGCCGTTCAGCCGTTCCCAGTTTGAGCAAGTTTCAAATTGCCAAGGCCCCCAAACAGGGTAAGACCCATGTGGCCACGTAAATGTGTCCTGGTGCTTCCCTCGCTCCCTCGCTTCAACCAGCGCCAAGCACCCCCGCGAACCCGCGCGAGCTCCGCGCGCGCGCGCGCGCGCGCCGCGCGTCGCCCTGGGCTCCCCCGGCGTGGGTGCCGCTCTGCCAGCGCTCCTCGCGCTCCACCATAACGGTGACGTCCTCCTGGATCGCTTTCGATGGCATCGAAGGACTTTTTTTTCCCGGGCGGGTTTGGCGGGGTGCGAAGGTCCCTCTTTCTTGTACCCTCAAAAAGGGGGGTATCCCCTTTAAAGGGGGGTATAGGTCTCTCTTTATTGGTGGGTATAGCCTTAAAAAAGGCGGCGGGAAGCCCAAAAAACCACCACCCATGGTCATGGAACTTCCTTTTTGAAAGCTGAGTGGCAGTGAGCGGTGCACCAGGCCCGAAACTTTCTCACAAAAAAACTCCATCCGTCGCACACCTGGCAGCGCGCAGAAGGGCGGGCGGGTGTCCGAGTTGCCTCGCGGAAAAAGACGAGAGCTTTGGGGTCAGTCTGGGGTACTTTGATGTTCAACGAACGTCAGGTACATAACCATGCTTATGACCGGGGTAACTGGGGGTAATCCCCTGACGGAAACCCACCGGTTTTGTTGGTCTTGACACAGGCCCTCCCTGATTTGGGAGCGACACCGGCTTCTTCAACACGCACGTGAGCAACGGTAAAAAAATCAATTGTCGTTCGAAGAGGACATGAGAGATTCTAGGTCCTCCAGCAGAGAGGTTAGAATAAGGGCACCCTTTTTTCTGTAGTCTATTTTAGTGGGGGAACCCTCCCCCACAAAAAGGGGGAAAGGGCACTACTGGGGGACCTAGGATTTCATCTCTCCCCTAGCTTTTGTGGGAAATGTAGGGCTCGCCACAAAAACCTGCTTTGGTAGCCAAAGCAACTGGGAGGTGACCAAAAAACGACGGGAGAATCAAACGGGTAAGTCCGCTTTCTCATTTTTCCCTCGTAACACCTGATTCATACCATTGGTTTCAGGGGAAAGCTAATTTCCCCTTCAAAGTTCAAACACCAACCAAAAGCAATCCAATCACAAGCCATGTTGAGAAACCCCCGAGGACAAAGCGCGTTGCTTCTTCTTGTTTGTCCATTTCAGGCCAATATTGACGAGAGACTCCCGCATGTTTTTTTTGGTCTCCGGAACCCTCCCATCCACCCACCCCTTCCCTTCCCCCCAAAACAAAGAAGAAGGAAAAATCGAAAAGGACAAGCCGCTTCCCCGCCCCCGCCCGCTTCCCCACCCGAAGGCGCGCCTCCAGCGAGCGATGCCGCTCCGTGGCGCCGGGCGAAGGCACCCGAGCCTCGGATCGCGAGCGAGGCATCGAGGCATCGCTCGGAGCTGCGGGTTCCGGGTGGGGGCCGAAACCAAAGGAAGCCGAGGCCCAGGCTGGTGGGCTTCGTTTTGTTGATAATAAAAAAGAAGAGGAGAGACTGACTTTGGTGGCTCACCAAAAAAAAATGTTGAGACTGACACTGAGATAGCCTTTTGAGGGTTCCCACAATTTTGAGACTGACATAACCTTTTGGGTGGTTCCCCCAATTTTGAGACAAACCCCTGACATAAGCTGAGATACTGGTAAGTTAGATGCTTCAGGTACCTGAGTTTCTGCATCCCTCCAAAAGTCACGAGTTTAATTGAGTGATATAAAACGTATGTGTTGGAAGGGTTGGGACTTTGAATGTTTTCGTTTTGTGCCCTTCGAACCCTGCCGTTTGCCCCACGGGATGACAAAGGTTGGTTGCCATTTTTTGGAGGAGGGTAATGTGTGTTTTTGGTCCACCTAAATCCGCGAGATCACCTCCCAAGGGGTGGAGCCCCTAGGACCAGAAAAGATTGGAACCCTGCCTTCAGGCCCAAAATCAGTGAGAGCCGTGTCCTTTTTGGTGGCCATTTTGAGAGGGAAGCCGGGCCCCGGAGGAATGTTCAACCTTTTAGGGTGGCTGCACATTTACTTTCACTAGTTCGCCAGAAGAGACGTGCCAAGCGGACAAAAATCAGCCCTTAAGCCATGTGCATCCGCAACCTCCGTGAATAGCACTCGAAACCTCGAATGTTTGTCGTCTTTGAGCGAACCCCACAAAAATCGTGTTTTGCTTCTGGTTTCCCCTTTAAAACCACAGAAAAAGAAGGTGGGCTGAAAAACCGACCAGCCACCCAACGGAGTTTATCTCAAACTGGGACCGAGCCTCCCACAAACACCCGTGCCTTGGTTGAAACCCATTGGAAGCTCCTGGCTTCATACGGGACATTAGTCACAATCCGGTTTATGTCGTAGAACCTCCTGAAGCACCGAATTTGAATTGGGGACTCTTTGAAGGACCTCGGGACATCGATTTTTCGGTCGGTCTTAAAAGGAAACCGTGGTGTGTCTAAAAGGAAATCGTTTTTCTCCGGGTTGTTTCCTCAAATTCCTTTCAGTTCCCCCTTGAACGTGCTCAAAAACATGGGAGCCTCAGCAAAGTTTGGCTCCCTCTAGAAAGTCTACCGATTTGAATACGACCATTGGTTGGATGCAAAACTGAGAAAGGGTCCATGTTTGCCTTTGGGAGAGTTAAAACAGGGCTCCCAAAATGTCTACCTTGGACATCAGGGAAACTCACCTCAATTTTGGCAAGCAAAAGGTGATATTGGCGGGGAAACATGGGTGCTGACCCTACAAGGAACCTCCACACACAAAATATATCCTATGGTTTCCAAGTGGATTTCGTCCACCCACAGTACCCACCAAACGGAGAAATAGAAAAATATGGAGACCCCCGTCTTTGGGAGGCGTCGTTTTTACCCTCGTTTTTCGGCGCTCGCCCCGGTGCCTTCGGTCCCCGGAGCTCCGGGCGTGCGCTTCACTCTCGCTGACCGCCAGCTCCTCGACCACATCCACAGACGCCGCCTGAGGAGGTCTGGCAATCTATGGCCGGGCTTGGACATCGAGCTTTGGAGTGTTTCTGGGTTGGGCTTAGTTTACAGGATGCTATGTCACGAGGATGCTGGGATGATGCTATGTCAGAGCTGATGCATATGTCAGAGCTGATGCATATGTCAGAGCTGATGCATATGTCGTGAATATCTGTTGAAACAATTGTGGGCCAACCCTGCTTTGGGATCTGTTTGAAAGAGAGAGAGAGAGAGAGACCAAAGAAACCAGTTGAAGGGTTGGCTTTCTGATGGCGTCCGTTAAAGGACCCAAAACGGAATGGACTTTTTTCTGGTAACTCTAAACCAAACACTCTGCTGAAATTAGCGCATGGAACCAACAATGCAGGGCTCCAATCCCAAAACACTGATTTGTTTAAACATGGATGAGTGTTTGATGGTTTCCGCATAAACGTATGCGCCTTGAGCACTGACAACCCGCCTTGTGGGTTCCCTTCAAAAGCCCCTCCCCCCCAAAAAAAAATGCGGTCCAAATTTTGCTCGCACAGGGTTCCTCAAAAGATGCATCCAAACAACACTTTACCAGGGAATCTTCCAAATCAAATTTAAACTTGCCCAAACGTACCCTTTAAGGGGAAAAAAAACGTGTGGCTAGTTCAAGGCCCGTTCAATCCTCAAAGGATTCTTGTTTAGAGGGAGACCATGCCACACATGCACCTTTCACCCAAAAACGGTGGTAGGGATCTGGGCTTTCCTGTTGGTTCCCCATTCCGCCAACCCCAAGAAAGGGTGCACTCCAAATAGGCGCGCCACATGGCAAACTCTCGGCAGATGGTTCTTTTGGCTTGCGGCCGGTCTGTTGGATTTGCGTGTCGCTCCAATTTGTCCCGTGGCTTTTGCCATCTTGAGGTCACGTTTTCAATCTGAGACCGAATCCTTGGACCATCACAAGCATAGGTGGCCTTTTGGGAAAATAGATGGCCCTGCTAAATGGAAGATTCCCCATTTAAACCAGCGCCATCTATGTTTAATCAAACTAACCTAAAAAGGACACCTAGGCTCACGAGGCATCCCAGACTTGACCTTGAAAGGCCCATGACATGGCTGGGTCACATTGATCACCTGACGGGGCCGGCAAGGATTGCGGCCACATGTGCTTGCAGCGAGTCCAGGGCGCCCGAATGGCACACTGGGGTCGGCAATCCTTGCCGGCTCAGTCACATTCCTGAGCGGATGGAGGTTTTGAAGAGCCAACCGTTGGCTCTTCAACACCTGCATTCGGGCAAGAATGGTGCCATGGAAGCCAGCCGGGGCCAACTGTCTGTGTAAACATTACTAAACACTTCACAGAAGGCGATGGATTCAAACCTGCCTTGCCCCACTCTGATGCTTGCCCAAAGGGATAACAAATTTGCACGTGTTGCCTTCTAGGATTCCTTGGAACCTAAAATCTAGTTCATAGGATCCCAACTATCCCGCAATCCCCGATGAGTCGTCGAGTCGTGGCGTGCCATCCTGCGAAGAAGCCCCGGCGGTCGAGATGCCAAGCAACGCAGAGCGCTTCGTGAAACCAGCCAGTGTGCCCGTCAGCTGGTAGCCGAGTAAAAGGATTTCTTCCGAGTCAACTTTCAGAAGCAGCGAGCGGTTCCATGGACAAGCTCCGGTGATCCGCTCGTGCTGACACTGTGCTCCAAAGCAAGTTGCTGCTGGAAAGCGAAGGTGCCAGAAGCTCCACGGATTCCGCACTCTCGCTGCTCACCAAAGTGCCAAGAAAGGAATTGTCGTCATCATATATACCCAAATTCCTGTGCAGGGCGGGCGCTTTTTCACTGTGAATTAGCTTGGTGTCCATGGCCCGCAGCTTTTCTGACAGCTTGAGCCTCTTGAGCTTCCCGACAACATGTAAAAAGTAGCGCCGCCGCGCATCGGCCAGCGTGACGCTCCTTGTGCGGTTGCATCTCAGTGCTTTGTCGGCCAGCGTGAAGCTGCTGAGCCGGGCTCTTCCGGAAAAAAAGGCCGGCAGGTCCGGAAAAAAGTCGGCAAGGGCTCGCCCTCGAAATGGAGCGGGAGTCTGGTGGTTCTCTTCGGTGCGCGTCTCAAGATTCTGGAAAAGCCCGAGACAAGAATTTGGGCTTCGGCTTCCGAGGGGCTTCTTCGAGCAACCACCTCAAGCAACCAAAAGGAGGCTTTCCGACGCAAAGACCCGCCCAAATGAAGTCGTCTTGGAAGCTGGTGGATGGTTCTTGGAAGATCACTGCCTGTCCACTCCCACGGTTGTCACGAGGCTGCCCCAAAAACAAGGCTTTGCTTTCGCGCGAGAAAAGACCAACCCCAACCAGGGCACCCAAACAACGCTCGCCCGGCTTTCTTCAGCAAAAGAAAACCTGTGCCCCCCCCCCCGGACCCCACAACTCCCCCCGCGGCTTCTCCCCCCCCCCCGTCTCTCTCTCGGCTCCCGCTCTGCGCCTTGTTGGGCAGCCGTGGGTTCCGCTTCAGCGGCCGCGCCACCGGCTTGCCTCGCTCTCTCGCGTCCGGTCCGGTCCGGGGGACGTCACGGGCGAGGGAAAGGTGCCCAGCGGGACGTGGCAAGGACTCGGCGCCAAAAGACATGCGGGCCCTGGATCGGAACAGGGACTTCATGGTCCGTGGTCGAAAAGGTGTATGGTTTGGACCGAGGGATTTGATGGTTTCATGCTGGGGTTTTGGTCGAAAAGTTGAAAAGGTGTCTGGTTTGATGGTGGGGATTGGGTTTATGGTCGAAAGGTTTATGGTTTGATGCTAGGGTGTAGGTGGGCAAAGGTAGGGAAGACATAGACAAGAGAGATGTTGTTCTGGAAACCCAAAATTGGAGTTGGTCGAAAGGAAAGCAAACAAAGGAGATCTCGGCTCTTTTTCCAAAACTCGGAAAAGTTTAGGAAAACATGGGACCCCCAAGGGCGCATGACTTGTAGCCCTGTCTGGATTCCTAGATTGCAAGTCCCTGCTTGCCAGAGCTCCAGCGTGGAACATAGCGGAAGGCTAAACCTGCCATCCACGGTGAAGCAACAAGGGCGTGTCTGTGTTCAAGCTTGGACCACCAAACTGATGGTGTCCCTTTTGGCCTCCCCTACAAAAACCCCCGCAAAACGAGTCCATTACAAAGACCCACAAGGGAGCCCCGTCTTAATGACTTCGGTTTTGCCCTTTGGCAGCTCCCTAGGGTCAAGGACCTGCAGAGAGCCGTGGGCCCTAAAGCCGCTGGTGTCGCACCCTCGCGAGGTTTCACTGAAAATCATGAGAGACCACCCTGGATTACAAGCTATAAATGCTCTTCTTTCTAACCACCAAAGAACAAAAAATAACAAAAAAGAGGATGTGGATCCCCTTCCCTATGCAGTGATTAGGCAGGGCTCCCTGTAATTTCCAGCTTCAAAACATCCCCAAGGGAAACTAACCTTTGGACCAAAAAGGGGAGGGTTCCCGACAAAAACGGAACTGTCTACAGTAGGTCTTCTGTTAGGGCACCTGTTGCTGTTTTAAAGAAAACCCAAAAACAAACTATTGGAGGCTTCCCCCCAAAAAAAGGAACCCAATTCCCCCCGGAAAAACAAAGAGGACAAACCCAGCTTCCCCCGCCAAAAAAAATTGGACAAGCCCAAAGGAACTTGCAGCTCGGCTCCCGCGCCGGCGCTGCGCGTGGCGCTGGGCCCGCTCACCATGCGGCGGCTGTCTTTGCGGCCTCAGGGCTTGCACCAATTGACCTTGGAAAGGGAGCAAAAGCTCAGATTTTGGCAGCTAAGTGGCCGGAGTTCAGCCACACCACAAGAAGCAACGATGTGTCCAATGTTTCCCAACGACAACCATGCAATCGCCAGGACGCTTTGGTTCGAGATCGGGGACACCGGACCATTCCACCCGAATTGGGAAAATTCAGGTGGGTCCAACCTTTCTTTCCAAGTCTGGTACTATTGACCCCGCATTTAGCAGCACCTAGACAATCTTTGCTCAACACCCGTTCGGGATGTCAAATTTGCGTGCAAACGATACCATGGCCCGAAAACTTAGTGCCGTGTGTTTGCTCCAAATGCCAAATGGCGTGTCTCTCCAAACCGACGCACCGCCCGAAGTGAAAGAACAAAACTCCGCCCACGCACGCGCTCCATTGCCGTTGCAACCGTGCAGCCGTCCACATCGGGCACCAAGGAGCTCGTGACTCCTGCAAGGTTCATCAGAGTGGCGCTTCCCTTGTCTGTGGGCAACCTCTCGTTTACCTTGCGTTGTTTTGTTGCCACCTTTTCGGCCGACACATGTCTTTTGACAACCTCTAAAAAACGAAACCGTCTGCTTTGCGATGACCATTTATGCCCATGAAACTTGAGTACAGGCCCCGTGTTTGGACCATGTTCCCCTAACTGCATTGAAACACATGGCAATGCAACAAAAAAACCGCTTCGTCCAAAGATGCCTAAAGCGCCACTTATTTTGAAACATTACCTTCCAAATGGCGGTTTCCTTTTGGCTTGGAATGACAATGCCTTAAATGGGCAAAAAAAATAACAATGGGCAAGCCTGAAGACAGCCCCCCTACCAGCGCCTCGCGAGGACGCAGGCCGGGTCAGCCCGCCTGCGCGCCCGGAATCTTCGGGGAGCTGTTTTCGGGCGGAGGGGGGAGGGGGGAGGCCTCAAAAGGGGCTGAGCCAAATAGATTTGCCTTCACCGCGCAAGGCGGTTTCCTAAGAACCACAAACATACCCTTGCAAATAGACCGACCCATGTTAAGAATCTAGGCCAAAGCTTGGCCTTCCCTCAGTTTTGCCGCAGGTAGTCAGACTTGCTTGGAACAAGCAAAACCGTCTGCATCGGGGAGAAAAAAAAAAAACTGGGGCCCTTGACCCTCGACCCAAGCGAGAAAAACATGGGCAGCACCTGTGTCAAACTTGGTATTCGCCTCCAACTCGGAGGGGCGTGAATGCTCATCGGGCCCTTTGGCACCATGTCGGTGGGGGCTGCAATAGTCCGCCAACCACTTTGAAGGTGGCTCCCCGGTTGAAACAATCATCGCCATTTGGAGACTTGGATTGTTGATTTGGAGGTTGGGCGGTTTCGAATTAGGCAAGAGGGGCTTCAAAATCCGATCACCATCATCTGATACTATGAGGCTGTCCTAAAACCATTGAACACCACATGCCCCAACAGTGGCAATCATGGCTCATTGCCCTCCGTGAAACTCCTGGCCAAACCCTGAGGGCTCGGCCCCGGTTCAATCCGACCAGGCATCGAAACTGTTTGTTCGGGGTGCCCGTTTTGGCCCGGCAAGGTTCTTTGCAGCGCCTCAAACCCTTCGCACTGACCTCACTCGCCAAACCAACCTTGGGAAATGGGAGGAGGCTTACTCAAATGCGGCCCTTGCTTCAACATGGTCCAACCATCACTGCTCAGACAAATGTGGCTTGAGTTGTCAGTCTGGTTGCAACAAGTTGTGCAAGCAACGGTTTGGACACCCTATTTTGGTTGGTGTTTTGGGGTAAAACCCCAAGTCACCAACATTTCGTTGAGAAAAAAAAGGCCCACGCTTGTTGAAAAAATGACAAATAAGCCCCAACTCTTTTTTTGGGAACACCCTGGGACGGACAAAATCCTGCACAAGGTTTTTCCCAGTTGGTGCGAAGTGGATTTTGTCCGTCCACACAGGGGGTGTCACCCGCAAAAGTGCAGGATTAGATTCCCGTAAAAAGGGACCCCCCCCTGTTCATCAACCAGGGGTTCTTTGTTCGGGGGGCAACATTCCGCCAAAACTCCCACACCCACTTGGAACAGGGCTGGCGCCAGCTCCGTTCAAAGGCTTCCTTCGCAGATTCCCGCCTGGCCAACATGACAAAAACGAGCTGCCTTCGCCCGAGAAATACGGGTGGCTCATCTTCTCTTAGGTTGGACCCCCCAAAACGGTGGATTAATTCTCCTGTTAGTTTCCTCATTTGCCATCAGAAAAGGACGCCGAGAAATACTGAGAAACACCAAGTCGAACATGTGCCCATGAATGCAATCGTGGGACTCCCCTCAAGAATGATTGCTTGCATGACGCCCCTTTGTCAAATTGATGCCGCCAGTCGTGACCCCGCTACTCCAAGGGCACCGACCTGGGCTGGTTGCCTTTTGTCCAACTTCGCCGATCCCAGCACCGGGTTCCTGGTACTCCGAAACATCACTCTCACCCACCAAGAGCACCATTTTAACTTGGCCCAAGGGGTGAAGCTGAACTCCAGGGAGAATGCGGGAACTATAGGGAACCTAAGGGGGAACTTCGCCCACTGAAGATCGCGGAAGGAAAAACCCTCCGAAGAAAACGTCCGCAACGTCCCAAAGCGGCTCCCAGCTTTCGCCCGCACCTCGGGGCGTGGTCATGGGGCTGCGGTCCAGGCGCTCCTGCGTCGACAAGCTGGGCCTGGCAAAAGGTCGCCGAGAGCGCCGAAAGCGAAAAGGAACCATCAAGAAAACAGAAGCTGCGTGTCTGACTCCAAAGGAAACGAGTGGCTTCACCTCGAAGCTTTTAAACCCGTGGGTTTGTCGGAAAAAAAATACCCTGCGATCTGTGGCAGCGAGGTCCTTTTTCGGCCCAAAAAAGCTGCAGGCCGGGTTTACAAAGTTGGGTTGCCATTCCCCGGCTGTTCACTTTACATGAGGCACTGTCAACATGGCTTGCTTCCTCGAAAGGACCAGGGAAAATTAGGGTTTGTCCCTGAATCACTGGAAGCTTCGACCAAGCCTCGCATGAACACCCGGCAAGCCGTGACTCAAGGCGGGGAAAGCTTTCCGCGACCATTCATGGAACGTCGCCCCCACTGCACCACCCAAAATATGGATTTTGCAGCAGCAGAAGTCAACAGCTACCCGGGTGAAAGAGAGGCTTCTCCATTTGCTATGTTTGCGGAAATGTAAAAACGACGCAGTTGCGAGATCCGGTAATCAACGTTGACTGAATCAGTGAAGCCTGGCTTTCTGCCTGCCATGATCAAGCATGTGATTCACGTTGGCCGGCAGCATGTGCAATAGTTACCCAGATTCATGTAGCTTCATTCCACCACCCACTAAAAGTGTTTTTTTACCGAATAGGGGACCCCTAAAATGGCGCTAAAAGTGGGGCGCGTCTCAAAACAGGGGAAACACATCGGGCCCCTCAAACGGCCCCTGAGCGGTCTCCTTTTCCCTTCCCTTTGACATACCGGGGAAACCGGCCGGCTCCAGATCCGCCTGCGGGCCTCTGCCTTGATGCTGTTCCTCGGGCCGAAAAGGCTTGCTCGAGGCTCGAGCTCGAGCCGCGCCCTGGGTGGGTATTGACCAAACTACCAAAGATATGCCAAACTACCAAAATGCCAAAATACCAAAATACCAAAATACCAAGGGAACCGAAAAGATGATCAACCCCCATATATGGCCAGGGGAAATCGAGATGGTGAAAATCGGCATGTTTTGCCACGGCGAGTCTAAAAGTGATACGGAGAATTGCCAGGAAAGGGCCCTGAGAAAGAAAAAGCCCCTTCAATGGAGGGTCTCAAGCTTTCCATTACCCAACAGGGGGTGATTGAAATGATCTCAAAGTCGGCAACCATGCGTGGTTGGTTTCCCTGTTTGGTTTCCCACTCTGACCCTTTGAGCAAATTCCCTCACCGTTTTGCGGTTTTGGGCGAACACGAAGTAGCCCAGGGAAGCAAATGAGCACAAAGTAAATCACAAAGTGCCCACAGCACCCGGAAACACAACTCGGGTGAAGCTGTGGATGATGACCGGGTTGAGGAAGTGACGGTAGAAGAGGAAAATGTTTGGGGAGGTTTGGAGACACGTTGCAAACGAAAATCAGGAAGTATACCACCAAGCCCAGGGCGTCCGCGCCGCAAAACCAGGTACCTCCTAGTGCCAGCCCTATCCCGCACCAAGCAGCAAACTACTCAATGAGGGGAAAGACCGCCGCACTATGGCACCTGACGTTTTACCGCAGAAGACCTGTCGGGAAGTGGAAAACTTGAGCCAGATGGCCATTCGGCCGATTCGCTTATGAAGAAACAACACGTGAACGAAACACACCCCCCTCATCCGATATCTGGACGAGAGAAAGGATGCAAGACAGTTGAGTTCACAACGAACGGAACCAACCAAAAATGCCAGTGTCAACTCAGAGGTGAGCCAAACGGCAGCACCTGGGCCCCAGTTAAAATCCCGCCACCACCCCGAATTAGCGGGGCGACAGGATTATTTGACGAATGGGCCACGTGAGTGAACAAGGACACATTGGAGGAGCCAGACGAAGATTCCTCTCGTGCCGTTCATGTATTGTCATGGGACAGTAATACGCGGAGGGGGACCCTATCTGGATCACCGCGCCTCACAGCATATCACGATGTGGTTGAAGGTGGTACCGAGTTGGGAGGAAAAATGATAGAGATATTCCGACATTGGTGAGAAAATAGCCGGCTACGGCTGGCCCGGCACTTCTAGTGCGGTCACAGCCTCACACAGGATCATCAGGGGAACCGTCTCCGGCGCGCACGGCAGCGGTGCGGGAGGAACGCGAACAACTCCGGATCAGCGGTACAGGGCAATGGAGACCATCACCCCCAGCAGCGCCGCATGGGCGAGAAGAGGACCGGTGCAGTCGCCTTTTTCGGCGACATGTGCGCCATCCTCGCCCTTCTAAGGCGGATGATGATTGCGGTACCTGCCTACCACCCTGATCCGGGTTCTTCCCGGTCTCTGGGCGCGTCATCTCTCCGACGACCACCGCGGTCACCTCGGTCGCCTCCTCCATCCCGACGGCGGTCCTCACCACCATCTCTACTGCGGTCGCCAGCCGGGGGTCGGCGAGGCGGAGGGGGATCTGATTGGTGACGTCGGTCATCCCTGCGCCGGTCTCTGTGGCGATCGCGACGGTCATCGGCGGGGCCATCACGTCCGCGGCGCTCATCTCGCCCCGGACCGCGCCTCTCAGAGGGCTCCTCACGACGTGGAGGAGGTCGGCGATCATCGCGTCGGCTTCCACGGGTATCCCTGCCACGATCATCCCTTTGTCGGGGCGGGCCAGGATCCTCGCGTCCACCTTTACCAGGTCGGTGTCTCCCTCGACCCTTCGCCTCACCCTTAGGGCCGCGACGATCCTCGCGAGCCCCAAGCGCGGTCCTTGATCGATCGTCATCTCGGTGGGGTCGCAACTCATCGGCCGCACGAGTGGTCCGAGGCACGCCCGGAGGAAGCTCCCATTCTCCGTCGTCATCATCGCGCGGGTCATAGCCGCTACGGCCGCCCAAAGAACCAGTGGCATCCCGTGGTGGGGACGCAGGAGTTCCGGGACCGCCAGACCGAAGACGAACCCGGGAATTCGCGTCCTCGCCGGTGAAGGGATCCTTCTGGGTGTAGAATCCCTTGGTCCTGCCCCTTCTCTCCCCTTCTTCTGCACCGCTTCTAGCGGGGACCGGGGATGGACGGGCAGGCTGGGCCATGCTCTTGGAGCTGGGCTGCCCGCCAGGAGGGATGTGAACCCCCCCCTGCCCTTTCTCGGGCGCGGGGACCCGACCACGAGATGTCCTCCTGGCCTTGGGTTGATCGGTGTCAGCCTCCAGCTCGGACTCGGTGTCAGGGACACGAGTATTGACGGCCTCTTCCTCAAACGGATCCCCAGCCGTTGTGACGCCCGCAGCAATAGGAACGGGGGGAGGAGGAGGAGGAGGAACTGGCACAGCCCCGCCAGAACCGACGCCTGTGTGGGATACCACGGGGGTCTCCGGTTCTACCGGGACAGGTGGCGCGGGAGGAGCCGGGGGCGGTGGCGGAGGGGGAGGGATCTCCTCCTCGTCGTCGTCCATGGGCTCGTCAAGGTCATCAGGCTTCTCATCGTCTTCGTGCGAAGATCCATCCGACCCCAGCTCATCCTCCGCTGATCCAGCAAAGTCGGGCTCTTCCTCGTCTTTCACGCCGGGGCCTGGTGTAAGGCGGATCCCGGGTCGATGGCGATCGCGGGGTCGGAAGCGGTATTTCCTGGGTGCAGGATCGGCCAGCTCCTGTTTGATGTCGTCCTGGGTTTGCGGACGGTCGGCCAAGCACGTGTCGTAGGCAACGGTGGACGTCCGGTAGATCAGCTCATCCATACTGCTGAGGTCGTTGAGCGTGTCGGCGTAGCCCTTCTTTACGCCTTCCCGTACCGTGTCCATAGCCTGCTTGAGACGCGCGGCGGGATCAAAGCCGGCCCTCCTCCGCATGGCTTGCATTACCCCACAGTGTTGTGCGAGCAGTTCCACCTGGGCCTTGAACGTCTCCCCGACACATCGTTCGGGAGTATCGGAGAAAGATGCCCGGATCTCAGCCCAATGATGTGAGCTTCGACCATGTAGTATGACGTGTAAAAGCCGCAGCGGTTGGCGTTGAAGTTTGCGGTGGTTAGGCGTCTGCCCCACTCAGCCGCATACCCTTCATATTCTTCGAAGAAGTCGGGGACGGTGTTCCCGTTGAAAGCAAGACCCCTTACCAAGATCGCCTTTGCGACCCACTCTTCCACATTGTGGTCAACAGTGTCACGGTATTTGCCGTCAAGAACCTCGTCTCGGAGCGAGTCGTGGAGTTTCTGGAAAATGCCGTCCACGTCCTCTTTGTCGAGGTACTTAGGAGGTCGCATCCCAGACATCAGCAAGGACCGGGCGTCAACGGCGGGACTCTGCGAGTAGAGGGCCATTCCGATGGCGTTGGCGTCTGCGTTGTTCCACAGAGCGGGGACGACGCCCCCGTATTTCCCCAACCAGCTGGGAATCACCCCGTCAGTGCTCGCTATCGTGCGAGGGCCGCCGTCCGTGTCTCCGGTGGGCAGGACACCCTCATAGAAGATGGGAAGGTAGCAGGCAGTGCACAGGTGAGCGCCGATCGGATGAGTCGTCATGCACCTATGGCATGGAACAGACAGCACCTCCCGGACATGCTCCGCCTTGGTTATCTGATGAGTCTTCTCCATCTCGTCCCGACACTTCCTCGGGCTCTCACTTACGGAGCTGAGGAAGTTGGGCGGATAGCACCATGGCCTCAAGTAAATGATGGAGCAGTCCTCCTTGAAGTAGACGCATCTCCAGTACCCGATCGCAATGTTCTCGCGCGATGCAAAGGTACCCTGACGAGTAATATGCATGCCCCCATTTTCCATGGAGAAGAAACGTGCATCGAGGGCCATGACCACATATCGGGGATCGCTCCTCTGGCGTCGACATGTGCAGCTCTGTCACATTGCCATCGGTGATGCGGTCGACAGTGTCGTTGGGGCATTCACCGTGATCACGGATGGGTTGGTACTCATCCGGCCTGGATGGGAGGAGCTCAATCATGGCTCGCCCACCCCGGATGATCGCTCCACGTTCTACGTAGAGCCGATACATCCGAAGTGGCACCACCTTGTAGAGTGTCTTGGGAACCACCTTAGAGGTGACAGGAAGACAAACAGGGCTCTCGTAGAGCATGTATTGATATCGTTCACGAAATGCTCGGTAATCAGTGTCAGATCCGATCTCAAGCGACCTTACCGCCGCTAGGCGGGCGGAACCTGGCAGCAATCGACGCTCCTTGTCACGGATGACGGTGATGATGATCTCGAACATTCCCACCCCGTCTTCGAGGAAAGAAGACAGGAGGTACAATGAAAAGGCATCGTCGGACTCGAGACTGGTCCCGAAGTAGTGGCTCAGGAACTTCTTCAGTTGTATCACCGAAGTGACGTTCCCTTGCCCGCTGGCAGACGAGGCCTCCAATTCTGGGTCCTTGACTTCCAGGCTGCACGGCTGTTCCACGGAGCGCGTCGCGTATTTCCGCGCATGCTCTCCTGTAATAGTGCGAAGAGGCGCCCGCCCTGCTCTCCACCTTCTGACGGATCTCGTCGGCGAAGTAATCCAGCAGCTCCGTGGGGGCGGGAACAATGGCCTGGATCATCAGGTCAGGGTCACTCCTGGTCGGGAGGATAGGTCCTGCTCTGGATCTCACTCCCATCTCCAGGAATCGGGCAATTTCCCCGACTTTAGCGCAAAGAGTAGCGACCGTGTTTCCGATCCTGGGGGCGATATCTTCGCCTCTCCTGGCGCCGAGGATGACCACATTCTTCTTGATGGATTCTTCCTTCAGCTTCTCGAGGTTTCGCCGTGTGGCCTCAGTGCCCTTCACTGCGCTGAGGCGAAGAACAGCAGGCTCTGGCTTGTCCGGTCGCACGAGCTGGCCGTCGGGAATCTGGTCAAAGATACGCGAGGCGGATTTCACTGCTG